GTGCTGGCTCCAGTGCTGGGCTCCCCAATAGAAGAGGGACCTGCAGTTAGTCCAGTGAAGGGCTCCTAAGATGATGAAGGGACTGGAGCATCTCTCCTCTGAGGAAAGGCTGAGGGAGCTGGGCCTGTTCAGCCTGGAGAAGAGAAGACTGCAGGGGAGGGATCTGATCAATGTGTACAAGTATCTGAAAGGAGGGTGTCAAGGGGATGGGGCCAGACTCTTCTCGGTGGTGCCCAGCGACGGGACAAGAGGCAACGGGCACAAGCTGCAGCACAAGCAGTCCTGTCTGAACATGAGGGGAAACTTCTTTGCTGTGAGGGTGACAGAGCACTGGAGGAGGTTGTGCAGGGAGGTTGAGGAGTCTCCTTCCCTGGAGATATTCCAAAGCCGTGTGGACACAATCCTGGGCAGCCTGCTCTAGGTGACCCTGCTTGAGCAGGAGGGTCGGACTACATGATCTCCAAAGATCCTTTCCAACCTCAACTGTTCTGTGATATTGTTGCAATTCTTTCCTGTGTTTTTCTCTCCTTGAAACTGTATGCAGACAGATATTTAGGAAAAAAAATGCAGGTGCAAAGTTTTCAGAGAGGGAAAGTTGCAGTTAATTAAATTTTTTTTGTTTTAAGTCACATTGCCAAGGTTGTATAATACAGTCATTAGTTTACAGACACCACCCCCAAAAATGTTACCTACCTGTAGGTCTGGCTATTCCATCTATTCCTTCCACTTTGTCATCACGAAGTAAAGGATGGAAAAAAGTATAAACAAGATCACACTAAATTTGGAAGAAAGGTTACATGTTAGTTTAAGTGTTAACAAGCACTAAAGTTTGAAAGCTTTCCTTGGACTTGCTTAACTCATTTGAACTCACTTCTGCCACCTCCGAAGAACTGTTCATCAGACTCTGTATATAGCTGTTGAGCTCCACTTTTCTTTTAGCCGCTACGTCTTTTATATGGGTTCTTCCCAGAACCATCTTATTAGGAAAGCTGCAAGGGAAGAACAAGATATACTTTTCCATTAACGTCTCTGAAATAACTACATTTAGATTTCACTGCAATTTCTATCCAGAAGTGCTGACATCCATTTCTGTTGTCAATCACAAGTGGAAACATAGCACAATAACACGCAATGCCATTACAGAAAAGCAAGGAAGCGTTTATAGATAATTTAGTGTATGGTATCGTTTACCAAAAACTGAAGACCCTGAGTTGCTCCTCTGGCACCTCTCCTTAAAACAGGACACTCCTCTCCCTTCGTATGTTAATTGCTAACCTTCAGATCTAGGCTGGCCCTCAGGAGTTTTGTCTCCTCCTCCTTTCACACTATTTCTTCCTCCACCCAGCTGGGGTCGCTTTTGCTGCTTTCATTATAATATTCATTAGTGAGCTGGAAACATACCCTGGTAACTTCCAGAGAGGAAAGAGAATACCAAGTTTGTTGTGGAGCTCCTGGAACTCATCAAATGTCCGGAAGACAAATGTTGGTTCAACCTGCCCTTCTCTCAGAACTCTCACTACGTAGATCTGCCAAAAACAGAAAACAACAATATTATAGGAATTGACTTAATTCATTTTTTTCTTAATTATTTCCACTATTGTGATCCTGCTTTTGCATACATTTCCCAGGAACAATATTTGCATTTTATAGTAAAACTGCAACTACAAATAGCCCTACTGTGGTACAAAGTAACATAAATGGTCTTCCTACACTGTAGGTCCACGTATGACAACAGAATTAAGGATAAGCTGTCACTAGTCTCCCTTTGAAGCCTGAGTAGGGGTTCATACTTTTTATCAGGTGTACAATTTTTGAACGCATCAGCGCAGGAATGACATCTCGACCTACATCTGTGTGGCTAGAACTCCCATGAAACTTTTTGGTTCCAGACTGAACTAACGCCTAATTTTCTCAGTCTGATTCTCCCAAGATTCTAAGGGATTCCACTTTTAAAGGATTAATTTGGTGGGCAGACGCTGGTATACTGCATTACACAAGAATTAATTTGAGAAAAGACTGGGGGTGCATTTCCCAGAATGCAGTCATCCACGTTACTACGAAAGGGAAAATAAAGTTGAGAGACTGCACGGAAAATTAAGTTCAGTAGACTCATATGGGTAGATGAGTTAAATGTATATTTACAAAGTGTGCAGTTAGGAAGACTCTTAAGACCTAGACAGCAGAGGTTTACATTATCTTACAGTTTCCTGAAAGATAAAAGCCAGCTTTGATTTAGACTAGAAACCGTCAAGTACACTTGCAATACAGTGCCAGAACGGAAGGAAAAGCTTTGTACTTGATCATTCTTGAGCTTCCTTCTACCTTACCTAGCTGATGTCTGCCATATTTAAGTCACTCACAGCAAATGCAACTTGGAAAGAGACACGTATTAGCAGAGGTCAGTACATCTCACTTACTCTGAGAAAACTACCTTGAGCTGACTATTCTAGGCCAGCAAACAGCAACATAGAGAACAACTTGGAATTCAGGTAATTTCACATCTGCATAGGTATAAGAATTTCAGTACCAGTCTTTGAGCACAACTCGGGCCTATCCGAGTCCTGCAGGCAGTCTAACGCTTGCTGCCTCTAGCAAGACTGACTGGGAGAGTAGGTACATTAACACAGAAAAAGATGCTTCTACTCAGGAGGATCAAATACAACCTTTAATGGAAGGTTCTAAGAAAGAAAATGTTTATGACTCCTTTTCAGAAAGGGGCCATTTCACAGACGAATGCTATGTAAATTCAAGCACGACTCAAATCTCAATTTTCTACATCTTCTCAGCCAATGCTACTTGCACTTTCTTCTTCCTTCTAGATCCTTTTCAGGAAGTGTCTTTGTTTTCAAGAATATTCTTGGGTGCTGAAAGTATCAGTCTGTACTCCAGTGCTCTGTTCTTCAGGAAGGAAGGAAGGGAGCAGGTCCATTCCCAGTAAGAGCTAGACTTAGATTATGGAGTCTCGTTTTTAGTTTCAAGACATCCACTGTAGAGCTCAGCTTTGGGCATCAACACTGGTGTGGGTGTCTAGGCTCCCTTTACAGTCAATGGACTCTAGAAAACTAGTGAGCCCATCCTAAAGCTGGGATTAGCGTTTAATTGAACAAGTATCTACCTACTGCTGTATTTTTTAAATCTCTGGCAATAAAGGGCACCTAGATGCCTCCCTCACAGGCACCTAACTTAAGTTTAAGCAAAGTGAGTCCTAGCCCTGGACTAATTCTCTGTGACTAGGTACTGAACTCATGGCAAGAAGAAAGTATCTTCTTCGAAGAAAAGGCATAGTATTTTTGCTGAATGGAAACAGATACCGCATACTTACATAATGTTTATCTGGATTGTATCTCTTCTGATATGTAAACACAGATACTTGTTTGATTCGGCCATCTTGTTTGAGAGAGTAGGTTTTAGCAGAAAATGAGAGGATGGGTTCATCATTAGAAGGAAGACCCGAGAAACGCAGCTGAGCCAAGTTGTGAATGAAGAAATTAAACTTCGTGGCAACACTTCCCAGACTGGATTCGATCAACCTACAAAAGGAAAAATAACTGCAAATATCAGCACATATCAGAACACACAACAATCAACCATGCTCAGCGAATCAGATTTTTAGGTCTTTAAGAAAAATACAAAATGAGTCCTTAGTGATGGAAAAACACTGAGTATTTAACTAAAATTGATCAATGGACTCTGTAAGCACTATCACACCAGCACTTAATAGGAGATTCAGTATCCAAATTTTGGAACGGATTTTTGTCCAAGGAGTGAAGACTTTCCAAAGTTAGTTAAAAAAAAAAAATTGTATAGATACTCATGCAGTTTCTCCCACATATTTATAACAGAAGTACAACAACATATTTTGTAACATATAGCAACAACAACAAGTTAGACTATACACGAACATCCGCTCGCTGTATTTGATCCTCTCCCCTTCCCTGCAGCATGCAAAACTCCTGAAAGAAAAAACTTCTTTATACTGCATGCATTACAAAGATCCCATCATATACATTGCTATTAAGCCATTTAAGTTGTGTTCAAAATATACGTCTCAGGCAGAACACACTCATCTACTTTCAGCATTTCAAACAATTTTTCGCATGAGATTGCTCTTAAAGGCAGCTAAGTATATTAGCATAAACATATATCTTATTTGAAATTGATGTTATTTACTTAGTTCACTGGACAACTGATTAATATTTTATGATTACACAGTGTAACTATTCAACCTCTACAGACGTGTTTGTGAACATCCCCGGTATGTTTTGTCCCAGCAAAGAACTCCCATTAAAAGGATGATGCAGTTGGATATTTTAGTACTCTTGCACTTATCCAGTACCTTGTAAAGAAAATTGTAGCTTCTGCATCTGTTGTTTGGGGCTGGAGAGCATCCTGGACATACTTCAAGTCCTGAACTCCACTTAGTTCTGGTAATCCTGAAGAAAGCATCTATAGGAAATGGAAGTTATAACTTTAATATAATAAAACCAATATCATTTTACTCGGAAATAATTAAAATCCTTAGGCCTCAAACTGGTTTTAGGCCTTGACTAAACTGCTAAACACTAACAGTGATAGCCAACAATTACAACCAGTAGTTATTACCATCACCATTTCTGCCGAGTTAGTTAAAAGAAGGTAACAAAAAGGCTCTGCAGTATAAGCTGTGCTATTTTCTTAGTTATTTCTCTGGTAACAACTAGGTAGTAGCCAGAACTTTTAGAAGACGAAAATACAACTTTCCTAAAAAGTACTTTTAATATTTCTGGCTTTTCACAGCATGCATTAAAAGCTTCTGTAGCATGAAAAGCAGACACCTTAATTCAAGTCTGTATCACAGATCTATCAAGTTTCAACTGAATTTAATAAAATGATTACCAGTGAAAGCAGGTTAAGGAAGAGGTTTGCATGTTTTCTTATTAAGTTGTAAGCTTGACAACAGAGATCCACAAACAACTGAAAGCGAATTGTGGGCTTTTCACCACCATTAATGACATAAGCCATATCTGACGTTAGCACAAAAGGAGCCCGATCCCTGTTTGAAAATGCAGAATTTGCATGTTAATGATATTGTCTGTCTACTTCCTGTCATCCACTCCAGTGCTGCCCCCCACCATGATATCAAAGAACCCATTAATGACATTTTACTTTTGGGGGTTGGATTCAGCTGCTTTTACTTTTTAAGGCTGGATTTCAGCTGCTTAGTGCTACCTCAGATTCCCTAAGGTACCCAAAACGTTTGCATAATATTGGACGTAACAGGAGATCTCCTAGAGCAACCCTTGGAGGCCAAGTTACCCTATAATGCCATAAATGGCACCAGACATCTACGTTTAGGTAAATGAATCCCATCCCTTACCTCTAGAAGGCACAGCACACTGAAACAAATGTAATGAATGTACCAAATATACATAGAACAAACGTAATGAGCACCCACACAAACACTTGTCCTGTACAAAATACTTGGATTTCATAACCATTGCAAGAAAAATCCCATTGAGATTTACAAAGCTTGTTTAGCTCTGAAAGTCAAGGAACGCTTTTCTCTTTAAGAAGAGCACAAACATGCATGCAGTCTGGAAGCATCACAGTTAAGTGATGTTTATGTGATCCAAATACCTTATTCTAGCCCACCAGTAGCTGGAACAGTAAGTTTATTTGAAAGCTATACCTATGTGCTTTGACTTAAAACAGTGCCAGAATTAAGAATACAGAAATAGAAAGATGCAACTACCAGACTTCACCACTACAAAGAGCTAGAACCTTTTCCAAGACAATTCTATACAGGTAAAGTTGGAATGGATTCAGGAAACCAGATGATTAAATTGAGAAATACTAGCTTCACATTGAGAACAGCACTTAATGCTGTTCGTAATGCACCTTACGAATGTAAAGGTTAATTACTGTTAAGAAAAATAGACTAGAAATCTCTGCATTACTTAACTACAGAAAATACCTTTTAAAGCTACCAAACATTTGTGCGTGACCCAAAAATTTTCCAAAGTCGATGTGAAACATATGCCCTGTGTTTCGAAGCATTATGTTATCATTATGGCGGTCACAAATTCCCAACACGTAAGTAGCTACGCAGCATCCCGCACAAGAATAAATGAAGTTTTCTGAAGCCTGGGAGGGAAAAGAAAAAAATGAATGAATTGAGAATATATATTATGGAAAAACATTCATGCATTCATAGTTCAATCTTGACAAGTGCACAATTCAAGCCAGACAAGACAGCGCCTAAAAACTGCCTTTTTCCAGATAATGCTGTTTGAATAGACTGCTTTGCAAAAAACTTTTCTTTTAAAAGCGAAAGAGAAAACAGGAGTTGAAGACAAATCACAAAAGAAAGATAGAAGAAATAAGCAAGCAGAGAAAAGAAAACACTACAGGACATTTATTCCTCAGTGTGTGGTATCCAAGAGAAAACATTTTACTTCTAGCATTGGGTGCACTGGCATGAAAGGGGGCCACTGCTCCTAAACCACAAGGAAGAGCAAAAGCCATTCCTCCTTGTGTTAAATTGGAAGCAAGTTTTCTATATCCAATAAGAACTCCAGAAATGAATCTTGAGGATTCATCTCTAATAGACTACTTTGCAGGTGTACAAAGAATTTTCATTTACTCTTTCTGAAGTATTGGAAAAGAAAACTAAGTTTCCTAAACCTCTAAGAAGAACTGAAGTAAGAACTACACTCTGTCATGAAATACTGATCCCTTTTAAGGGATCTTCAACAAGAACAACATTGAAAAGAGTTACCTTTTCATATTCCTCCTCTGTTGGATTGTACTTTCGCAACCATTCTGCCAGGGGTTTGTCTTTAAAAGAACCCGTCACTCCATATTCCACTTGAATTTTCCTAAGTGTATCTGAAGCAGGAACAAGCTCTACCATGCCTTTTATATAAAATATAACAAAGTATATTTACCATCCCTCTCAGCTCAAATGTTACTTCATACTGCATTTTCACTATTGGATTAAAAGTTTCTTGACAATAATAGATTTTTATAACTTAAAACCGACTTCTTTCAAAACCTAGGTAGCTGTAAAAATAGTTCTATTAGTCTACTAAGCATTTCAGATTGTATTACAAAGCAGAACATGAAACATAATAGGACCACATTAAGCTTACTTTACTGCAATCAGTTACAGTTGCTAGAACACATATATAAAATCATACTTTGAGGCAAAGCATTGCATAAATGCACTGGGTATAATTAATAGCCATAAAATATTCTGATACTAACATTCCTTATGCATGAACACTAAACCATGTAATCTAGTAGCTTTAATAGTTGTAAGTAAAACAGATCAGACTGCTGCCCTAGAAACAAGGCAGAGCAGGCTTTTCAAGTAGCATCATATGGGAGACCTACTAAAAATATTTGCATAGCTAAGTCAAAAAAAAAGTTGATTAACAGAATTTTACTTCCATCTTGGTGAAAGTTAATACAGGCAAATCTGTAACTATTTTTTTCTTTTTTCCCCTCTTTAATCCTTCAAGTAATTTAGGAATACTAATATTAGCAGCAACAGCAACAAAAATGTAACATGCTATATAATCAAATCACAGTTCAAAGTAGGAAGAAATGCCATTTGTTCCTCTAAAAAGCAAGAGTCTTACATAATTTGACTCTTTTCTGTTATTTTTGCCTACTTAAATGCATGAAAAAGTTGGAAATTTGAGGTTTTCATCATGTCGTGCTGATAAAAGAAATATTTAAGTTTTTTTATACCCTTCAGAATAAGTTTTTGCATACTCTTTAAAAGATTTCATAAAGGAGTTCTCAAATCATTTGAGATAAACATAATTATGTTTATGTAAAATGACTTCCGTTACTAGTATTGAGGACTTTAAGCTGATGTTTACATCATCTCAATTCCACTTTCACTTCTGTATCTTGTGTTTCCTACTGGTTAACCTAGGCAATTAGCAACAGCTAGCAAATAGCATGTTCAGGGTGAGGTGCGGAATTTGCACTCAGTTTGAGCCCTGATGTTCTCTGACTTAACGTTTCAAACCTAAAAGACTGCCTCATACTCCCAAGGAACTTTTTGCAGCAATAATGTCTATCTTGAACATTTTTTTGTTCTTTTTGCATGTTTCAGCACATGAATATTTCTTTCTGACTCAACTCTAGCAGATTCCAAGTACTTTAAAATCTCAGTTTTGACCTGAATACTTTCTGAAAGTTATCTGCCACGCTAAAAATCAGGATTGCTACGGCACAATTATTTTCTTGTGTTACAGTAAGGGCACCAGGAGGGAAACCTGGCTTTCATGATTACACTGAGTCTTTTGTGCCACTGTTCTCTTGACAGAATCTCAGAATTTAAGAGCAGAAATACATTTAAATGGGAAATTCAGAATAATTCAATTTTGTTATGCTCTTGAGAAACAAAATTCCTTGTATGCAAGATATTTGGCCTTCCATTTTTTCCTGGACCTGCCTCTGAGCGGAAATCAGCAGGCTTTTACACTATAAAGAGTGACAAGATGCAAAGAAATCAAGATGGGGAGCACCAGCAAAGATAATAGGTAGCATCTGGTTTTGCACCTCGATCTTTTCCAGTTGAGAGACACTTGAAGATAACCATTCGTAGATCCAGCCCCTCCTGCAGCCAGATCTTATCCATAATCTTAATCATTTGTAAAGCCAGCATATCTTGTCGCAGATCTTCTCCAACCTTAAATGAAAAAAAAAAAGAAGAGTTAGAGATATAATATGCTTTCAACAAAACTGAAGTTGGCAGACTTTAATTGCTTTGCATTTCTATAGTAAGGGTTACATTATACTACTTATTTCCTCATAGCTATGCGCTTAAAGAGTAAGTGATAGGATTCAATTAAGGTTTCACATGCACTCTACCTATTTTTCAGATTTTATAACATGTTCAGGCATTGGTTAACTTCTGAAATTTTACTCTTTAAAGCAGTAAAACAAAGAAAAGAAGAAGGGGAGGTGTTATGTTTTTAATTCTTATGCCTTCACTCTGAGAAGAGGTAAGAGAATGGCTATTCGAGGGGAAACTGTACCTGTCCTTAAGAGAGACAATTAATTCCTAGTACTAGCAACTTTGAAAAGGTCATATAGACAGTTAACACAGATGTACATATCATCTGGAAAAATACACGTTTTTCTGCCTAATAGGGAAGTCATAAGGATACATTCAAGATTCCAAAATGGTTGTTTACACGGTGCCAAGTCAGTGCTAAACTGGAAGTTCCCAGTCTGTTGCAAAAAAGAATTAAGCTATTTAACGAAAACTAGCTGTTGTCAGCCATTTCTTTTCATAACTGTTTATCTGGTAAGACAGTTTCTAGACATAGAGGAGCAAACTCAGAAAATAAGAGTCTCTCAAGTCTGCCTTAAAGTTAACCACTATTTCATTCGTCTCAACTATCATTTAACAATTTTTCTCCAATACACAGGAAAAACCTACCTTAAACATCACATTAATTTCTTCTCCCAGAGGGTCTGCATTTATCAGTGCAACTTTCAGTGGTACTGCATTGGAGCTGAAGAAGGAACATGCCTACAAGTAGATTTCATGTTAATTCAAAAAAAAAAAAAGGGGGGGGGGGGGAAGGCAGGGAGCAAGCACCTATTCCTATTAGCACACCAAGCAAGACAATGTGACCACCACCAGGTTGCACACTGTGCGTATTCAGGCTTTTTAACCTTGCGATTGTGGTGAACACGTGCTTTGAATAAGAGCCCTTTGGCTGATATTCATTTAATTCTTGTATAGAAGACAGTATTGCAACATGGTGATATTTTACATATTTTGGAAGTAAAGAGTGAATAAAACGGGGATAAATATTTTACCAGCAACTTTCTAAAACCTGAAAAAGACTATACAAAAAAAAAAAAAAAAGGGAAGTTTGCACCTTTCACAGGATTTTCTCATTTATCTGCTTTCAACTATGTACACATGATTTAATAGTTATGGTAGAGAAGAAAAGCAAAAGGAACCATGTCCCTAGATAGGACTAAATCCATTATTCAAAGGGTTTTTAAGTTCTTAATCATGCACAACGATATTATCCAACCTGTGGTTGAGCAAATCTTTCCATAACTCTGCAAAGTTTGGCAATAAGGATTTACCTACTTCTCCTACATTATCAGCTGCTGGACCTTCATAACAAAATAAAGCTGTTGTCTGCCTCCCTTGATTTTGTGCATCTCAGATGCAACCAGTAACAGGTGGCTTCACTGATTTCACAATAAATATTCGTTATTTGAAAGTTATAGCCTTGTTCAATTTTCTCTTTTGATTACTATTGCAATCAGACTTCCTTCAGTGTGCTTTGACTATTTCTCTACTTTACTATAACTAGGACTACTGCTTTCAAAGCAGACAAGATTTGAAGAAATATCAAATTTCTACAGATCGGTCTTTAAAAAGTACTTTAACTAGATGTACATGAGTACTTGAATAAATTGCCTTGTCTCACCTAATTTTAATGCCTCATTCAACCAGCAACTTTTATTCAAACCTTCCTCAACTAGCGTAAACAGCTTTCAAGCATCTCCATTGATTTTTCCAGACTAAAAACTTTGCCTAGGTGTAATTTTCCCCCCAAAAAACCTTCTAAATTCTGGACATGGTGTACCTTAATATTTAGTTCTTTTGCCACAAGGCTAGGATTGAGAGGCAAACGGCATTTGTTCTTCAGGAAAAAGGACTGTACACATTCCATACCATTTTGCAAGACTGCCTGCAGACAAAAAAAAAAATTTCAACTGATATTTTCCTAACTGGAATACCTATAGAAAGCATTTGGATAAAGTTATCCTGCAGCACAGCAAAACCAATATCTAACTCCTCAATGTCAAAGGAATGCCAAAACAATTTATAACTGTTGTCTTAGCAATCCAAAAAACATAAACCTAGGAACACAGCACTAATATCCCACAAGCTTGTTGGGGTTTGGGTTCCTTTTTTTTTTTTTTTTTTTGGACCAGCCCAAATGATACCATCCAACTCTACTGAACTGTAAGCCAGTACCAACATGTAAATAGATATCTGTTCTTTTGTACAACGGGATCAATCTTCAGCATCAAATTTAAATCTGATTCTAGCTTACTGTGCAGCCAAAGAAACCATTCTTCCTTGTTACTCCTCCTTATCCTCTGACATAATCTTCTGCCTCAGAATGCAACAAGTTCAACAAAAAAAATTGACTTTAACTCATGAAAAATACACAATAACACATTCAATCTTCCTACATATTTTATGTAACATTCTACTGAACTTAAACTAAAGATATGATTTTTTGGATTACTTTGAGGGTATACTCAGCCTAATCTTCCTAAAGAATATTAAAAATTTAATACACACACCTGTCTAGCAGATCCGCTTGTTTGCTTTACTTTTTCTGCTACCATTCCAAAAAGCTGTACCAGTCTGGTTTGCTTCTCCAGCTCTTCCCTCAAGCCTTTTCCACAGACCGAAAGAAAGGCTCCAAGAATTTGCTCATACCTTACACCAAACTTGGCATCATGTAGTGTATCCTTAAGAAGCCTGAAATAAAGCATTTAGGTTACTTTTTCCCTAAAGCAAATACTGTTAACAACTCAATAAAATTAAAATATTTTCAATAATCATTACTACAGACATTTGAAGTTACTGATTTACAGGATGTAAAAACGCAAGTTTTTCCTGTGTTTTTCTTCATGAAAAACAGCATTTGCACATTGTTTACTTTCAATTTTATGCAACATTCATTGTTATAAACTGTGACATTAAGATACAATATTTATTCCTGAAATATTAATCCTACAGTAAATAAGTTGTGTGAATAACAGAACAGAACATCCTACCAGTATAGGTAGTGCGCTATTCTAATGCTTCCCAAAGCCCGAGCCAAAATAAACCTGACAAGAGCACTGTCCAGATAGGTTTCATACTTCAGCGCCTAAATGGAAAGAAAAATAAGATGCAATCAATTTAGTTCTAGACAAAGACTAAGATTTTTGACTAGCGCACTGGCAGATCACCACAAACGCAGGACAGACACAGACTGTTTTAAATTTTTTCTACGCTCAAGTTAAGATTATGAAGGACATAGATACGCCATTAGATTTCTGTTACCTATAACGAGTAATTCCTTTGTTTTTTTTCAGGACCAAAAAACTGAAACTTTAGTGTAAGCAGGAAGTCTTACCTGCACAAACTGAGGGAGGAAGTCTGTTAATTCATCATCACTTAATGCATCTATCCAGTTTACAGCTGTAGTTCGCACTTCCTGATCAGCAAACCTAGAAAGTCACCACAAATCCACACTAAGTTCATGTTATGTGTTTGGACAGTACCTCCCCCTCAACCCCTTAAAAAAAAAAAAAAAAATCAGCTAGATACAAAGGAACCAATATAAAATCTGTAACAGTTCAATAAAGGACCTAAAAAATGTTAGGCCCCTCAAAGACATTACCTAACATGCAAACGCACGTGCACGTTTACGATAAGCATACTAATCTTGCAAGACTTCAGTCCTGACATCTTCACTATATAGCTTATTCTCCTGCTATACATTAGAATTCAGAATTCCAACCTCAGATGCTATTGTTACTCTTTCACTACATGGCTTGGTTAAGCCTATGTGAATAAAGTCAATACATATCCTTTGAACATTGCTATCCACACAGTCATCCACTGAACAAAAATCATTTAATGCATAACACACACACACAGAACTTATCTGCTTTGTTTTTCTTACTTTGAATCAAGTAGTTCCAGTGCAGCTAAGGGTGATAAAGGAGACCACTGCTGAAGTAATGAATATATTTCAGGAAGACTTGCCCAGTCCCAGGAAGGGGCACTAGCCAATATTTTTGGTAGGCTATTAGTATGACTATGACAATAATGTCTCTTCTCCCACAAAAATTCTTTATCTTCTTTTGATAGCCTGTGGACAAAAGCATTTCCGTTTACAAAGCAGGCTACAGAGCATCACCTGAAGAACCCCAAAATTACCGGTCACTGCATACATACAAATTTCATACACAAGATGAAATGAAACTTAAAAACAGCTATTTCCTCCATTAAAGAGTAAGCCTCGGACAAAACACAAAGTTCTACGGACACAGTTGTTGAGAGTTATACGAAAACCTATTCTTGTCCTTCCCACATTATAATCTGAAATAAACCAAAAAGTTAATGTTAGTTTGGTGAAAAACACTGGTATAGCCTGCCCGAAATTTTTTCATGGCATGTGAATGGCCACTGCTGAAGCTATCACCGCTGCCCTCTAGTTGAAGAGGTGCCAGGCAGGAATAAGCAAATATAACAAGAGACTAAAGGGGTAACAATCTTCTAAGAGGAGTATACGATGATACAGACCACGGAAAGCACAAGTGAAATGATTGTTAAATCAGCACCATTCTTTTACAGCTTTTATTCAGTCTTTTGTTTACATCTCCACAGAACTTCAGTTATATTAAAAGTGTATTACAGAAGTAGTTTAAAAATAGATGAGCATTCCACACCCTATCCACAAACTGTCACATCTGAAGAGACTGTAGTTACAAAGAGATGAACATACCCAATGGTGTTATCTTTGGAGAGAATGGTAAGGAGACGTTCCCTCAATGGTTTTTCCAATGTTTCTACAGAATGACACACAGCAGTCTTTGCAGCTTGTGGAATTTGATATACAATATCAAAAGCAAAGGATGGGAAGTCCACCTGGAGAGAGGAGGAGGAAAAAAAAAAAGAGAGAGAGAGAAGACAACTAAATTCCTAAAAGCAGTGCAAAAAGCGCCCTCTTCCAGCAAGCTCAAATGTTTAGGCACCTGCACTCTTTAGTTCTAACTAAACTAAATAAGTGCGTAACACTTTCCGGATACTGGCTTCCCAAGTTTTTTTTCTGGTCTCAATTCTTCTACATAACTATGGTCCTTGACTGTATAACAACTGTGTTGCTGCACAGTACAGTAGTTGTACAGTTCACTAGTTCTTCTTTAGAAGAAGGAAGGCCTAGAGCTGAGACTAATCACAAAACTATTGAAACCACTGGTGTGTTTTTTTTTAACCCAACCACGACTCTGACCACATGTTGGGACAGCTAAATCATGCTCAACAAGGTGCCTTCTCTCAGAAGAATCTGGACTCTTGAGTTTAGAATGAGAGGCACTTAGGTTCTATAAAGAAACTGGAATTGCTGTTTGGGTCCAGACAACAGCCCATGTTTCTACAGACTGCTTTTTAAAGATCATCTCTCTCAGTTCTGATAGCACATATTGCCAAGGTACCTCCAGCTTCTCTGACTTCAAGATAGTGATTCAGCATCTGACTTCTATACATTTACAGTAGTTTTCCATTCTTTGTCGTTAATGCAATGGTCACTACTCTATACTGGCTTTCAAATATTTCACTCTCCCCTAAAACATTAATTGATTTATTACAACTCATGCAAGAATTAACAAGTCACAATATTCAAACAAAACGCAGCCAAGTCAAAATAACAAAGTCAAAGCACATAGAACCTGCAATAGTATTCTTTCCATATTTCCTCTCTTACTGGCCATCCCTGATGCATGACTGGGATGCGATGAGGTCCAGAGTTGCAAGAGCTTTGTTCCACAAGTTAACAATCTAAAGAGGGAAGAAGCAGGTACAATGCATTAGTGTCACTATCTGTTTACTTCAACATAATAGTTATCAAAATACTATCTGGAGAAGACTAATGGTCACTACAAAGAAATAATTAACATATATTAGTATGGTATAGCAAGACAGTTTGAGTGGAGCATCAGCATTTCTACTGCCTATGTAAAAATTATGCATGTGACAGATGCTCTCACTAAAATACCGCCTGATGTGTTAATTCCGGAACTCTTAAGGCATATTTTCAACTGCAGTATTCAGAAAAGAACATAGGAAATGCATCATTCATTGGCCAATACAGTTTGGAATTAAAAAAAGGGAATTATGACCATCAAGTGTCAAATCAATTTCTTTCCTTTGAGCCTCTCTCACATTTTAAAGTCCTTTAAAATGCTTGAACTCTACATGCAACTTAAGCTGAAAAAAGCAGAAGAAAACATTCAATGCAGAAACAGCTGACCTAGCTAAATAAAGCACTCTATTTCTCACGGGAGGAAAAAAAAAAATACTTTTGCCTCTGAGGAGTAAAACAGGACACATGCACCTCCTTCCCCTCTCAGGAAAAAAGGCATAGGCATAAGCATATATTATAGACATAACCATTTGCCTAGACTTTCCACATTCCGAGATTCTGCAACTGCAAAATCAAATGACAGTAATATTTGCCAGTTTATCCTCAATTTTCCAATCATAACAAGGCATAACTGAGAATACTTTATAAAATCATACAAATTGTTGTTCTCATGAAGCGTGCAAGGCACAGCACAGACTTATATCTGCCTTAAAAACAACAACAACAACAACAAAAATACAGTATCAAAAGTCTGCTTAAAGGCCATCTGTTTTGAGAGATGCCTCAGGCTTTATATGTGTGAGGGGAAGTTGTTGAATTTTTTAAAGCAGGAAGAATTTGTATGTATCTGGAAATTAATAAACCAATAAAGATTACTAAGTCATGCCACTGAAACACAACTGAAAAGCTTGTCCTTTTTAATAATTCTCCAGTTTAAGATACTTGTCACAGCCTTCTGTCTCATCAACAAGAGCAGCTATGTTAAGCCTCCTCCCACCACCCCACACATTTCATCAGAAGGGCTTCCAGTTTAGCTTTAGATTCTTCCAAAGCACAAGAGTGACCTTTTAATCCCCTCCATGTTTTAGTTAGCTACAGTCTTTAGCTCCTGCTTGCTACTGATGCTATTTGCAAGAGCAATGGAATATTTGCCTTGTATCCTTAGTTACTTGGATTTAATTGATAAAGACAGCAAGTAGATTAGATACCAGCATCTCTACAGCTGCCATATACAAGCCATTCAGCAAATTCCGGTCCAACACATTCTGTTGCAGTGCTTTGCACAGACAGAAAATATAATTTTCTCCCTCGACTTCTAACTGATATGAGAACATCGCACGGCATGAAGACATACAGAACAAAATGTGGAATTCAAATCAAAATAAAACACTTTTTAATCACTTACTATGAAATGCAATATGCAGACAGAGGACTGAAAGAAAAGCCATTTATGAAAAAGATATCAGAGATTCAGTCAGCAGAGACCCAAAGCAGCTGCAAGCCACTATAATACTTCTTTGCAATGCAGGAAAACCTATACTGCTAAGCATCCCCAAATTGTTGCAACTGTTACCATACAAAAGGGGAAACTGGATCAGCCCTTGCAGTTTTGGTTGGCCATGTGGTCTGGTGCCGATCATTCAAGCGCAAAGCTGTTTGTCAAAATAGGTGCTACCTGACATGCTTGAAGTGAACAGATCTGCATTACTTGTATTTCAAACTTTGAAAGAGCTGAAGGGGTCCCTGTGGCCCAAGGGAGTCAATTCCCAATTACTCCTCGTAAACTAAAGACAAGTTTTCAGAAGAAAACCATCCAGGCAGTAGGAACGGAAATCAGATAATGACAAGCCTTTCTATTATTTTGACAGGGAATTGCTATTGAGGGACTCAACAGAAACATGGTTAACGAGTAATCAAACAGGCATTAACACAAGAGAGATTTGGGCAAGCTACATGTTTCAGTTCACAGATTTGCGTTATACGCTGTAGTCTTAAGTTATTTCAACCACGGGACTGGGAAAATATATTAACGCATTACATTAAATATGCTAAGAATTAGTTCCTGGTAAGTTTAAATGCAACTATAATAAGAAGAAATTATGGCGAGCATGCATTTTATGATAATTTGCAGGGGTCAGTTTGCAGGTCTATGCTAGTAAATATCTTCACCAATAACTTCAGGAAACTGACTGTGAGAGTGGTAAACAACAGCTCAACGCTGGATGGCTTCAAAATTTGGACACAAGCAAAAAATTACAGTATACGGTCAAACACAGAGCCTTATCTAGAATCAAAGGATGCAAACCACGTGAAACCAACATAAGCAATACTAAGAAGTAACTCTCCAGAAAAGCCTAGGGGCCTTGGTTGGCAATAAGACAACATGTGCTCCCAGTAAGACCTCAGTCAGAAGGGCATGTAATTAGGACATCTCAAGTATAAATACAGAAGTTACTTAGTCTGCATTGGTATGATCGTTCCCGCAATATCATGCCCAGTTTTGGTGTCCATGGCTCAAACACACCCGTAAAAATTTTACGGACTAGCTACAAGAACAATTAGCATTCTGGAACAGTAACAAAAGGCGAAAGCAATCTGAACAAATCCAGGAACACTTAATTGAGGAACATGAATTATAGTAGGCTTTTCATTCCCAGTAGCAAAAAAGTAAAACAGGATCCAACAGCTGTACTTGAAGGAAGATCACTTCAAACTAGAAATAAGTTAGAAATATAACCCAATAGTTAATCATTTCCCACACATGCCTTTTCTTAGAGATCCAGATCCAGAACATCCTGTGGTCTCTATTACTCAGAGACAGCTTGATAATAGAAATGGCTCATTTAGCCTATCCATGAAACTGCACTTGTATTTTTAAATATGTATATTTCAAAATAGTCTGTTGATTCTCTTGCTAGTTTATTTTATTACATTAATCTTTAAAACTTTTAAATCTGAGAGTAAAGAAAATATATCTAAGATTCAAGATGCATTTAGTCAAACTTAATTCTCCAACCTGACTCCTGCACTTGTCCACCTACAAAAACATGCTGCAGCAAACATTTACCAAAAAAGAGAAAGATGCTCTAAAGAACAGCAATGCTTAGAGATGCTGTAGACCTTTAAAGCCTTTATTTGTAAACATATAAGCTGTCATTGTATTCATCTCCACAAACAGAACTGGGCTAAGATAAAAGCTGTTTTTCCCCCTACGTGTTAAGATAGTTTTGAGGCAAAAATGCTTCTTTCCCAGGGACGCATGGAAGCATAGCATATTATTTACCTGTTGTCAGTACCTGTTCTGCTTTGTATTGTACTAGATACTATTTCTGCTGAATTAATGGCTTGCTGCAGATACTTTATTTTGCAAGTTGCGTGCTCTATTACCACACCTCATGAATCTGCAGAGAGCTAGCAGTTTATAATTCATCTGCCAAAACATACACAAATACCAAATTGCCTCCAGGCAATATAGCGTACTTTCAGACATTAGAACTCATGAAATGTCACCTACCAACAATGTACTCCTTCAGCGCAGAACTGAGACTATCAGTTCAGTGGACAGGGACACTTGCAGATACTTTAACTGTATATGACTTAGTGGGCAACAGATCTTGACCTGAATGCCAGGGGATTCCTCAAAGGACAACTTGTGCTGTGCCTACAGACTGCTGTATTCCTACTAGCTGTGGGTGCTAACACGATCTCTTCTGACCCACAATAGTATGACAATTTCCCACAAACAAGCAGCTGTCATTCAAACATCCAACTTACTTCAGAAGATCAGTTTTTCAGCCAGTTAGATGGAAACATTACAGTTTAGAACTGTGTTTTGTATCCAACTTCACTGAAGGTACGTTCTCCATAACAATACTGTTTAAGAGCCTTATCTTTATCATGCCCTACTAAATTCAGTGGCAGAGAAACAGTTTCTATAGCTATGGGTGTGGAGCAAGTCTTACAAATCTATAGAGTGAATCGCCATAAACTTAACCATATTTTGGATACTTACCGTCTAAAATCAAAAAGAGGTAGAGAAACATGACCCAAAACTTCTGGGCCCTTTCTCTGTTTATTTGAGTCAGGAGAACTTCCACTACTTTGACTTAGGATTCCAAACAACGTCAAACACAAGACTGATTCCAATGGCAGCTGTGCAATCTGGATGGGGAAAATTATTCTATAAAACAAAAGCATTAAAATAAGTCAGCCATAAAAACAATTACTAGTAAGTTACAGGCTCATCATTCATATAGTCTGTTGATGACTTGTGTTTTCAAAAAGTGAACTAACAATGAAGGACAAAGTTTGATTTTTATGTAATTATATTTCAATTCCCTATCCCCCACATCACCAGTTCGTAAAAACTACTGGACTACAGTTCTGCATTGTAACTAGATTTGGAACAACCATTTTTAAAAGGCAAAGAATATATCTATTAAATCATATTCTTTACAAGGAGCTGGAGAGAGCACAGATCTGTGTTAAACACCTCCTCCTCTCTCATATTTAAAGCCAGCTGACAATAGATTCCCATCCAAATATAACAATCTCTTAAGAAGTACTGAAAGCTAAATTCCTAAAATGGCACAAAACCAGCACCCAGAAAGAAAGTAGCTACGGAGTATACACCTCACTGAACAATTCCAACTTAGGTTTTTGTTTATATAGTTTGTTTTTATTGGTTAAGATCAGTGTGTTCTTTGCATTTGGCTTTTTCTGTAATGATAGTTTTACATACCAAAATATCACTCTAAAAGCTATCTCAACCATATTACTAAGTTACCAGTTACCAACTATATTAAATTACTTATAAGCAGTTTGATACATCTCTCTCACTGTGATAGCCTGTCCATTGCCAGTAGGAGAACTGACGATGAATCCCTTGCATGTTTAGAAAAAAGGCAGAGCCTTCTCTGGAGACAGGTATTCTAGAACCTAAATATCTTATTCTGGTCCAAAATAGTTTTGCCATTGCAGAATTTTAAGGTATTCTTCAGGGTCTATCTCTGACCTTTAAAAACGGGTAGGAAGAGATATATAGTACAACGTGGAGCTGATCTGACATTCCAGCTATGACAGGCTGCCTAATAACTATTAAGTGGAAAAAGAGTCAGCTGGGCATAGTTACTGGAAAATATCCCCTTCCCCCCCAGATAACATCCACAGCCTCCCTTCTTTGTATGTCTTCCCTGCATGCCCTTCCTTCTTTCTTTCTACCCTCTTCCCCTTCCCTTACGAAGGGGAACTGAAGCTGTTTACTAGCTCAAACCAGACAGATTCTCATATGCCGTAAGATGTCTAAGCACTTAAGCATCGGCACTCTTTATAGAAATAATTCTAAGTCAAAATTTTAAATGCAGACATGTACAAAGTTGTTGCAACATATTCTGGAACTGAAAAACTATGCAGGATTGATTTCTGCAGAAGTCAGTTGCTTTACCTCCCTGTCTAAATAATTTGAGCACTGTTTAAGAGCAGCTTTATTCATCCTTCTTTAAGGCTGCCAAGCTGCTCCCATTGCAAGGAACACTATGACCTTCCCCAACTTCTTATAAATGTATACTATCAATACGTTAGCACAGGGCACTTGTCCAGCATTTCTATTCCCACTTTTAAAACCAATAGTGAAATACTATCAGAATAATACTTCTGACTTTGCTCACAAGTTTCACACACTGGATGCTTAAAGTTACTCTAACGCTTCAAACTGAACCGGAAGCAAGAGGTGCTCGAATTGCGGTATTCGGCAAGCAGCTAGGTAAGTGCTATGTAAGAAAATATTTTAGTGAATTTTAAGCATGCTAAAGTCACTTACAGTTCATCCCACTTGATCAGGTAGAAGAAGCTTTTGTATGTGCCAACCTTCTTGGACTGAACAGGTTTAAACAGATCTTTTCCATTATGGGTCAGAGAACAAATCAAGTAGTATTTTTCATAACTGGACAAGGAAAAGTAAACAAAAAATAAATATAGAAAAGGGTGAATTTTTACAGTTACAATTACAAATTGATTAATTACTCACTTTGATACCCAAGCAGGAAATATTCCATGTGCAGCAAATATTGTGAACTGGAGATGTTCCGTGGCAGTCCATGCTTCCTTGATGCCCCTGCTATCTTTTGGAGAAATCGCTGCAGAACTGCTGCTGCATGAATTCACGTGGAGTCGCAGAAGGCCCTCAACTGCTCTTGTTAACTGGTCTATAGTCACTTTCAGAGGGTTTTCAGGCTGCAATAAACCTAGATTATAACATATCTTTAATATACATCGTCATTAAACAGCCACCTGAAAATAATTTTCAAATAAGATTGAAGAACTTAACTCACCAGATGAGCTCTTGCTCGCGTCCTCACCATGTTTTAAGGATACCTACACAGTAAGTTAGAACAAATTTCAGAACCAAGAAACCCGTATTCAGCCTCCATTGTTCTTAACAAGCGTCTGGTACAGATAAACTATGAATCATCTGAATTAGCTCCCTATTTGGGCTTATGTAACATCTTTTTACTCACAGTTCTTCAAGAGTTAACTGACAGCATCTCAACTTCCCTACTGCACAGCCAATATTCCCCAAGTTCAAAGGCTCGTGCTTTGCCGAGTCACAACTATTTTCATCTCTTTTAGGAACTGTTAAAAGACACAGTACATTGAAATATTGCTCATGGATACTAACTTATCTGAGTAGAGACAAAATTCAGACAGGGCTGTTAGGGATGAAAGCCCAGACCATTAGCTCCAATTACAGAGCAATTTAAGCCTGAAGAGTTGTTTTGCTTTTGGCATTCATTAAGGCACCTTTTGTAGGCAGGGTTGCTATAAGTTTCCTGAATAAAAACGCTAGTGGTTAAACAACTAAAGAAACTGCCTTTTAGCACTATCTGCTGTGTTCGCTTTTTACACAAAAACAACTAAAATCAAAGTCAAAACATGATACAGTGTTACAGCAACGTCTCGTCTCGACAAGGACATTGCTGTAGCCTAAAGACTAATCATGGGAATTTACTCCCTTCTAACAAGGAAGAGTTTCATGCCAAATTCTAATTCTGATAAAATAGACTTTACATTAGAATTAAGTTGGTGATTGAAAAATAGAAGTCAAAAATTTCTTAAGACTTCAGAGAAGGGCTAAGTTAGCCATGACTGCTTCAGAAGAATGAGAGGTCTCCTTACACTTCCAGCACATCTTGCCAGCGCTAAGTTTTAACTGCAAAAAAATTCAATTTTTTCCCCACAAAAAAAAAAAAAAAAAAACTTGGGAAAAATAATTTTTCAGAAGAATTAATCAGGTCTTTCTCTCAGGAAACACTGCCATATATCTCCACATTAATCGTGAAGTACTGCAAGTACTTTGGATGACAGAATGACAAACATCAAAATAGTGCTATATATGTTATTTTCTACCGGACAGTCTACTGGTTTCTTAAAATTTTTGAGCTATTTCTTCCAACCACAAATCAACTACTTAAAAAACCCAATATAGACAATATCAGAGTAAGGCCTGGATGCAACTCACTTGGAAGTTAACAGTGGTTTAGTTTCTGAAGAGAAAGCCATCACATACGCCTACAAATATTACCATTGAACCCATTTTTCATCACAAAAAGTTTTATTTATTTTACCAATAAGCATGTGCTTTTTCCAATTTCTATTGGGATAACTTTTTTTTAGAAGTCATTTTTATACTGTAACCCAGTTATTCCTACACTCTTCTCATACCATAAAAAACAACTCTGGAGAATTATTTGATGCACTGAATTTCACTGAGCTTAACAGACATTTTCTGTATCCTCCTGCAAGAATTTTGACCTGTGCATCCTGCACAACTTCAGCCGAGCGTGACAAACTTACCATTAAACTGATGGACCTGAGAAAAACAGTAACATGGAAAATGGAAATTCATGTACCATTTTTCCATGGCTGCAGGACAACAGAAACAGCACTATAAAACTATTTAATGTCTGTACTTGCACTTCTCCCTTTAATGATAGTGTTTTTGAGAAAGTGATTTGAGACCAGTTCTGCTCAAGTGAACTGTCCACTGTAAGGCTGTTCAATCAAAATCTGCACTGAGATCACTTTTTTCCCTGTGCTCAGAAATTCAGGAACATAACTTAAGAGTTTTAAGATGCTATTAGCGTAATTAAATACCGCACAGAAAATACATGATGCAAACTCCTCCTCTATGAACCTAGCAGCATTGATTCTCCAGGCCGTGAGCTGCCTGTCAGTTGCCCTTGCTCAGATTTAACACCATCTGCTGTTACACAAATCTGTACACAGAACCGGAAAACATCTTTTTGAAACTAACTTTAAAAAGTGGTTACTTAGAAGAGGAAAGGGTTTCAAGAGCAAGCGATCAATGCATTAACAGCAAAAGATGTTAGAAGTTCTCAGGTAACACAAACAAAGAAATCTACCCGACTGAACTGTTGCAGATATGTGAAACTACCAGAGATTCTGAAGTAATATTTATCAGCATTAAAAAAAAAAAAAAAAAAAAGCACACACACCACAACCACCACTGGAATGCAATTCAGAGTGTGAAAGTTTACCTTGGTGTTTTTAGTCCTTGGAAGATTAACAACCCTCCTTAGCTTCTTTACAGATTCTGTTACTGCAGGAGTCTCTACACCATCCAATGTGTAACAGATTTTTCTGACAGTCTTTATTACATGTTCTACTGCTTTATGTTGGTTCTAATAAAAAAGGTGTGAAAGAACACACAAATGTGATCACAACTGTAAAACTCAGTACTGCTTTAAACATTTTTGAGGAATCACCAAGAAAATTTTATGATGAGATTTATATCTCAATTATATCTAATGTGGTATAACAATTTGATTAAATAAAAACCTCAGTTTCGAGAGCTTCCCTATAGCTCAATTATCAACATAGCAAACAGGAGTACTATGGAGTCTAAAACAGTCTCCCCAAAACAATGCTGGAAGGCTTCCAACTTTTTTCATCTGTACCATCTAGCTCTAGGCAAATATATGCAGTCTATTGAGATATTAAGTCCAAATACTCAACTCATGTAAACAAATGTAGTTCAGAAAAAAAATACTCATTTAGCGTGATGAAGGAAGCATGCTGACGAGGCAGCTTTTTGATTTCAGCCCTCTTCAAAACAGAGAGGGAGGTTCAAACTATACGTAGACTATAACATAGCTTCAGTAACATAGCTTCATCACTGACTTCATTTTAACGTAACATTTGAAGAAGGTTTGTTGCAACTTCTGCCTTGTATACCGTTCAATATAATTTAAACGGTTCTCACAGAAGAAGCAATTGCAAGCTGCCATCTTAGGGAAGGAAAGGAAGGGGAATTGCACACTTCACAAGAACATCTTTTGAAAGTAAGACTTTTCAATCAGGGAATGAAAACGCTCTTAAACTGCTTAAGACAAAGTCAAGATTTTCCTAACACTCCCTTCTTGCTTCTCTTCAAAAAGAAGAAACACTTACAACTTAAATTCAAAGAACCTTTTTAATATAACATAAACAAAATCTTCATTCATCCAATTGTAAAGAATGCATGTAGAAAATATTTGCTTTAAAAATTGTTTTAGTTATTGAAGGTTTAAGGTATAGGTTTCTTTCACAACCACTTATAAGCACTTAAAACTAAATAAGAGGAGTTACTATAATATGCTCCTGGTAAGATGTGAACTGATCTTCCCCCCCGTTGCATATTCTCATGACTTTGCTGCAAAGGGACAGCAAAGAAGCAGTCTGAATTTAAAGTTAATTGTATTGGGAATTACCTCGCAACAATTAACTTTGTCCTGGTAAGAAAAGAATCATATAAATTGGAAGAGTACATGGTAAATATTTAAGCCCTAAGTTAAAAGCTAACACTTCCAGATAACTCTCCGAGCATATCAAAAGCAAAGTTACCCACTGTTATTTTGATAAATCTTACAGGCGCTCAAGACTATCTCAATAAAAAGACAATAGCTAAATTTTAAAACAGCCATAAACGCGAAATCAAAGGCTATGGATAACTTATTTGCAGATGATTTAAAACTGTTTCACTTCCACTAGCAATCTTCAGCCACTGCATTTGCAAAGGAATTCACTTTAGGAAATCAAAAATCTTAAGTGGGACAACTGCTGATATTTGAATCTAATCATCCAGAAAGCTCTATCTCCCATCTTTAAAAAGATTGTGGAAAGATTAGAACATAACTCTGAATTGAGATAGTCTGCATTTCTCAACTCAGCCTGTGAAATCTCATTAGACCAGCAAGCTGAAGCAGCTGTTGAGAGCAAGGCAACAAATACACCACCATACCAGGAAGCAGTAACACATCACTCTTCTACAATAACACCATGTTCAAAAACTACCCTTGAGAATATTATGCATGACTATTAAGGGAGTTAAGTGATCTTTACAATGGTATTAAGGAAATACATAATAGTGGACAGCAGCTTCTTCAGATACACATCCCTGGAGAGGCAATGAAACAGACTTAATTACAATATTTTAAATTTCCATCAAGTCATCCATTTCAAAACTGTTCCTTATAGAAAGTTCCTTAAAGAAATACTGCTTTTTAAAGAAGCTAGCTAAGGTTTAATAATTTAAGTCATCAAATTAAGTTACTATCAGGACTTAACCTTCTTTACTCATTTCTGAAAAGAGGAGCTTAATTTATCTTCAGCTAGATTTGCATTTGGGAAATTACTCCAAATTAACCTTCACATGCAAGCTGTTTCAGGCGACCTCCGATGCACTGAAATAGACACTACTGTTTCTGGCAACACATTTTCAATTAACCTAACTATGCAGAATAAGATATTACACTTGCATGTCTGGAGCACTTAAGTTCTACACTTCAGTTGTAATTCCCATTGCACACAGCTACTGTTGCTTGCTTCTGTGTAAGTTATCATCTGTGTTATCAAGATACTATAGCCAATGACCGAGACAAAGTCAAGATTCAGACCGTTTCTGTATTTCTCCTGATTTTTCTAGCATTTTTGAAAAAAAAAAAAAAAAGGTTATTCGGCATCCTAGGACTTGGAAGGTACACCGTTTCTATTAGAGTTATAACGACAATATTATTATTAGTTTGCCAGAACATTAGAAGAAAAAAGGGAAAGAAATCTGAAAATCTGTGATTCCAAATCTACTTTGGACAGTTTGATCAGGTCTTAATTTCCCAAGAGCATCAGTTGGTCTTTGTTCACTAACAAGATAGTTGGAAATTCTCATGCTACTTTCGGTTCAGGCACCAGCTCTCTAAGCTTACCTCATTTTTAAGCGCTATGTCAATTTGTTTATGATATGCATCAAGAAGCTCTTCAATAGAAGACCTGTAACAAGTAATAATTATTGAACAGAAGTGCAAGAGTAGAACAACATCATGCTCAGAAATTCAGTAGTGGGCTTGATCATGAAAATAACCACATAACGTTACCTTATAATAACATCTCTGAAAGGCTTTTCTACTTTGTAGAGGTGTTTGGTTAGATGTATGGGTGTTCTATCATCTTCTTCCTATAATAAAATACTAGATATTGAGTCTCATTCTCACCTTCATAATTTTTTAATATTGTTTTAGAATTTTCATCACTAATACCTGTGGAGTAGAAGGGGAAGGATATAAGGTGATCTCTTCAAAGGAGCGAAGAAATAGGTAGTTAACAGCCTATGAGACATCTACATGCTGGGGCAAGGGGAAGAGGGGAGAAGCAAGGACTGAGCCCCTAACTCCCCTAACTCCTCAGGGGCCAGATACTCCTCCCTCCCTCTTTGACCATCTATATCTAATTAAACTCAAAAACTGTTCTCAACTTGTATTCAACTCTGAAATTTTGCTGCTTCTCTTTCAGGCCTCAAGTTTTGTCCAAAAGAGACAGTATCCACGTTTATGAAATTTTCCTTGCCAAAGTTCACTATGTATTTCACCTCCTCTTAGTAGGGTAGAACAACTCACAACACCAAGCAGACCTACAAATTTGTTAACCACACAAGGTGACAACTCAGATCATCAAATTCTGCCAACTTCCTGGAGCTGAACAAACAGATTTCCTCAAATATTCTCCCAAAGTCAAAAATTCAGATGTTGACAAAAGCCCATGTATTTCCCTGCAGAAATTGTTACCTAATTCTATAATCTGCATACCTATACTTGCGCTAGCCAATGCATCTAACTTCATACGAGCTAGTTTCAGAATAACAAAATCAGATTTACTGCAGTTTAGGGGGTACTTACTGTTCGTGCAAGATCTCTGCACACCACACTATGGGTCAAGAGCTGCAGTTTAATTTCTGTATCCCATTTTCGGCAGTTCTGAATATATTCGTGGCTTCCTACACAGTGCTTACTGTTAAATAAACGAAAGCTATAGTTACTTGCATAAGAAAAGCAGTGTTTTCAAAACAAGAACATCCCTCATAACAGATGTAATATTTAAGGCAACGTGCTGGGCTTAAAATAAGGAAACAGTTAAGAAAATCTCCATAATATATTTCTTGATCTGGTTTTTACTTCTGCAGAAGTCCCAATACACTATTATAGATACCTATATTTTTGCTGAAGCTCTTAACTATTATGGCTAACACGGAAACCAAACATTATTACCCTGCAAAATACTGGGGATTTGCAAGCCATCAGTTTTGAAAAATCCAGGTTACTTCAGATTATTAGAAACTGCATCAGCAGATTTATCTGGTTGCTGGGATTTGAAGAGCAGCTGTAAGCTATACCATCTTTTCCATCTACAGAAAGACTACGGAAACCCACATTTGGAAAACCATTCGCGTTCACCACACAAGAAAGTGTAGATTAGAAGAGATTTCTAGAAAGCTGTTGAGGACCTACTTTGCTGCATCCCAGAGCAACTTTAAAGACATCTGATCTTTGTGCAAAAAATGCCTCTTCTACATTTTGAAGATATATTTCTGCTTTCACACATTTAATCATTAAAGACATACTTTCCAGTAACTGTGCCATGAAAAAGTACGAAGTTAAACATTAATGAAAAAAGAGTTTGCTTACTTCTGTAAAACTTCTTCTTGGCCACAGACTTTCAGGATATAGCTGCCAATGTCCACTTCATTCAAGTCATCATGCACCCAGCAAAGTGCCTGCATTATTATAAGCTCAACAGGGGAACTCACTGTTTAAAGAAATTACATCTAGAAGTTAAATACAAGTGTACAGCAATTGATATTAACTGTTGTTCACTCACAAGTTGTACTTGTTCTTTAATGAGATTTATCTTTATACTCTTAGAGAAGGCTCTTATGCTTCTATAACTTAAGTTTCATCATTTGAGAACTTCAACTTTTGCAGCAAAGAAAGGTATCTTACAAACCTGCCTGTAGTTTGAGAAACTGGTCAATCCTCTTTAAATAAGGATACATTATAGCTACTCAACCAAAAGTTTTAAAAAAAGCTATTAATTCACAATTTGTTTTCAGTTTGTTTTACAGTAGGATAGCATCTTTTTATAGCATTAAGTCTTACTTAGCAAGGACTTCGAACATTTAAGTGAGCCCAGAGCTGTCTTAGCCTTAAAAATTGTATCTGAAGAGTTGAAGATGGAACTTTCCTAATTGTTCTGGTTTTGAGAAAATGAATTTGTCAACTGTAGCAGAGGTAAACCCTACTGAAAAAGCTTTCCCCTCCCCCCCCCCCCCCCGCTGCTTTTTCATAATTATTTGTCTAGGGCAGTTTCTACATTGTAGAGATCAGATCTTAGTAAGCATCACCACACACTTTCAACAGGCAGCTCATAACTACCAATACATTCATATCAGGCTCCAAATGCTTTTTTGGAAGCCTTCTTTCCCTTCCATCCAGCAACCAGAAAGCAAAAGAAATAATCCCAGTCAAACCAAAAAAGCCATTCTCAAACGGCACCAGCTGACACTGAGGAAGAACACATATGCTTTTACACATGCACAAAGTTTTAAGAACATAACGCTCCACCGTTCCTCTACACCTCCTTACCCAGTTCCTGATCTTCTGCCTTAAGTCTTTTGCTGGTAATGTCACTAAAAGCCCAGTAATTCTACAAGAACACTACACAAAAGCATTTTTTTTCCAGTAGCACCTTTAGAAGTTTTTATTCCCCCCCAATGACCTTTTTAATTTCATGAAGTTTCTATTTCTTTTTTAAAAAAATGTTACTACTATAGAGGATACACATGGGAAAGATGACAACGTTTTCAACAAGACAATGCATGTGCTTCATCTCTAATGGATGACTAATCGTTACAAGCATAGAGATACTTGATAGCGTATAAAAAAATGAGTATGAAGGAATTCGAGAACAAAAAGAGATGAGAAACATGAATCCAGGGCTGTTTGATAGAGTAAGCTGAATGACAAGCAGTTTTCGGAAAACAAGCCAAGTAGAGTACTTTCGAAAGTCTATATAAACCATTAAAATATCTAACAACAAAACCTCTGTAACCCTATACTCCCCGGGGGAAAAAAAAAGCACACAAAACAGGCTACAGTTTAAAATAATGATTTCACCTGTATGCAGAAAAAATACAGCTGAAACCAACAAAAAGCTACAAAAGCTTAGAGCTGTATCAGTTCTCTTCGCTGCTATGAATAGAACAGAAACATTAAAAAAAATTTCTAAAGCAGAACTTCTGAACCGTAGTACTACCGTCGGTATAGAATATGTTGGTTGATGGTGAAAAAAGATGCAGTAACAGTTTCTATGCGCTATGCCAGCTAAGGCCAGTCAGGCCTGCAACGCCTAGTGGGGTAATGCAAAGACCAAGTTATCTTTTTTTTTCCCCCCCTCCTCTCATTAAGAGGCATTAATGTCATGCTGACACATGACAGTTGCTCTGATAGACTTGTACTTCCTAATAAACCAATGAAAAACTAATAGATATTCCCAAATAAGCTCTAAAAGCTAGTTTGTTTCCCTCCTGAGTCTTTTCTGCACAGCAATTAGCACTGAAAAGCTATAGTTCCCGCAGAAGTAGAAACGTAAGCCATGCTTGAGTAGTTCTAGCATTCAGAGACCAAATTATGCAACACAATTGGACCAAGAATAGAAGAAATTAGAGACAGGAACTTTGAATCCACCTACGGCTAGTATGAGCTAAAGATACCTATCTTTCACAACTACAGAAGAGTAGTAGTTTAACTGTAATTAGTTTCCACATCAGCAAAGGAAGCGAGCAGAAGGCACAAAGAATAAGATTTGTGGAGCTAGAATGTGTGGAGCTAACACATTCCAAGGCTACTCGGAATTCACAGAACTTCTAAAAATAGAGAGTTGAAGCTATAAAATTTCAGTTACGCTACTAAAACCTTTTGTAGGGAAGGATTAAGCCTGTAATTTTAGGAAAAGTCTAATCTTGAGGTTTTCTGCTGATTATCCTTCTTGGACTACAATAAAGAACCATCGCATATCTTAACAGAAGAGTATTAGTCACAGCAGAATAACTAAAAGGTCCAGCAAACTAAGAGAATGAAGACTTCTATGCATTAAGAACTTGTTTTCTGATACAGCAGCTAGTTTAAGCCAATAATAGAGCAACTTCACCTCTTTGGAGGTCATTCAATTCTAAAACATCTACATTGTTACAGATTGAGAACCAGACAATTAAAAAAAAAAAAAATACTGTAGCAAGGATACACTACTAGGTGACAGGGTCTGGAACAGGGAACCCCCTCCAGAACAGTAACAGATTATAGTAGGGTAAAGAGCAAACTTATTTTGAGGAACCTCACTATCATAGCAGGTTATTTCATCACAAAGAACTGCCAAAAGCTAACAGCATCCAGAGTTACAGACTTAATATATACAGGCTGTGCAGTCTTGACTGCACAGAGAATACGAATTTGTGCACAAGAACAAAAACCTAAAAGTTCAACTGCAAACTAATACTCATTGTTACCTATTAAACTAGCCTGCCTATTTGTGTCATGGTGGGTCAATATTGTTCTAGCGCTCGTGTTCATCAGCACATATTCGAGTCATGCTATAGCTAAAATAGCTTCAATTTCTATTCCCATTTCCCAACAACTATTTATCTGAATTTTCAGACGGCCTGAAACAGCTTTACTTCAACACTCATACAGGCGCTTTAAAAAAAACAAAAGGAAAAAAATATTACCCTAAAACAGGTATAACTCTTGAAAAGTGCTTCAACATTCCAAACTGTGGTTAGAACAGTGTTTCAGGTGTGCTTGGTTTTTCTTTTTAAACCTGTTTTACTTTACTTTTTCAACCTCTAAACGTTTCCTGATGGAGGCACTGACCCCGAACTAGGCTCTTTAGTTACATTTTTCAGATTCTTTACAAGTAGCCCATGCACCCACAACCCATGGATTACAAGAACTGAAAGCCATTGGTCTAGACTGAGTATACAGTCTCAGCCCACCATTTTGCTAAACCTTAAAACCAAGCTTCGATTCAAAAAGTAGAAACATACCATCACATGTAAAAGTTACTGGCTGCTGGAATCCTTTAATTTCTATAGAAACCTTGATACTGGCACTCTCTCCATTTATATTTCTTTGCAGCATGATTGGACTCAGCACAAAACCTGGATTTGTTTGTTGATTACCATAAGGAAACTTGGTCCTCAATCTGTAAGCAGAAAAGGTTTATGAAATACTGCAGTGGATAAACATACGATTAAAGGAAAAAGAATACGGCAATAACCGCAAGTCAGAGAACAGTAGAGAGTGCTTTTTGCTCTTTACCTAAACCGTATGCACAACAACATTCAGTTTTTCTACTCTCAACAGAACATTGTCTGCAATAATTATACGAATATCTGTTAGAGAGGGGGGAAAAAAAGCTACCTTATAATTAAGCAGAAAACCCCAGGACTTCCACATAGCTTAAAATATTCAATAGGTCAAAGCTTACAGGACATACTCAGCTTCTGCAGGAGCTAAGCCCTAAAGTAGTTTCTAGAAAAAGCTATTCCGTGGCATCTGCCTAAAACTGAGTTAAAACAAACGTGTAATTTCATGTATAAAAGACCATAAAACCCTCATACGTTTGAATTTTTGGAAGTCCAACTTGATTTTGAAATAAGGTGCTATTCAGAAGTTAGTTAAGCTGTGAAAGTTAAGAAAGAGGGATAAATTAAGAGGAATGTTTTCCTTCAGGATAAAAGTATCATAAAGCACATTCACCTACTAATGAATAGACGGTGCTTTTTGATAGCCGCTTTTTACGTACTGCTGTTTAACACAAAAAAAAATTCTAAAATTCTGTCAAAATTAAAGCACTATTATAGAAGATTAAGAATAGAAATAAACTATAATGACCGATCCTTTATTTCCATTATCTTGGTTCCTGATCATAGCAGGAATAAAAAAAAATTGTAATAAAAACTGTCTCTAGCAAGAGTTGTCCAGTCATAACTCCATCAGCATTTTAACACAACAAGCCTTTTATGAGAGCTTTGTCTCAATATTTTTGTTCAGTAATAAGTTCCACAAGTTTATATTGTGTAAGAATTTTCTCATTGGTTTTATGGAGTTTGCTTTTCAGTCATAAACATTCCTGTTTTTTGAATTTGGTTGTTAAATAACTAACTTTTAAAAGATCTATTTCCTCCACTACTTCTTGGACCTTTACCTCCTACTCTATTTTTAAAATGGCTAATCCCAAAATTTTTAACATAGAAATTCATATTTAAGTTACAGTAGCACCTGATAATATTAATTGATAGGCGTCAGACAAGGTAAGAAAGAGTAAAATGTTGTTCTTGGGTGGGCGGAAGGCTAGATTACTAGTTTGTGTGCTCTGTGAAGAAGAATGCAAGAGAAATTCAAGTTGTGGCAGCAAGAAAAAAAACAGAAGAAACTTCCTAGGTTATCAAGTTTCATCTGTGATATTGCAGTATAAAAAACTACAATATGATCTTTAAGAAATTGGTCACTACCTGGGCAAAGCAGAAACAAGTTTGGGGGTTCTTGTCTTTTTTTTTTTTTTTTGGTCTCTTTTTTATCTCTGTTTTTACAGAGTTCCAGTTGCAGAGGAAATAAAAGTGAGGGCATTTAAGGTTTAGGAAAACATCTGAGTGACAGGATTTGTTGGGTTTCATCAATTAAGAGAGAGAGACTTGGATTTCTTTCAAAAGAAATTACATTAAAAAAATACAGAAGAAAGATGCAGAAAAGTATTATGAGAGGAAAAGTAAAGAAAGTAAGTATTACAAAAACAAGCAAGAAAAAAGAACAAGAGGAAAGTATGTGACTATAGAAAGTAAAAGGATCAAAAGAATAAAGAGGAGACACGGTCATACAAAGAACTTACTAGTGAATACCTTAATTTTGTTGTAGTCCTGGAAAGCAAGACAAGAACAGGAAAAACTGGGATAAGCTGTGGCAAAGGGAAAAGGAGACATACTGAAGCCTGCCTATTCAGGCAAAAAAGCTTAGGACAGGCCCTGTCACCTTACTGAATTTCTGATTGATCTTACCAAGACAAGAATAAAGTTATTTAATCATTTTATTACTTCTGAAAAGCTAATTTGCATTTAACGATTCCTTACTTCATAATTGCTTGAGAAAAAGCTGACAGTTCTTGATTCTGCCCTTCAATTTCTTGGAGAAGTGTGTTTTCTGTCAGCATGCCAGTGGTCCCATTGTCTTTCTGCAACTCAAAGATAAAACAGTATTTGAATAGTTACAAACACACTCCTACAGCCTGTAAAACCATGTGTGGTAGACTTTCAGAAGCCTAATGTTTATTATTAGTTTTGGGTACACTTTTATAAGCAGATAAGGTATACATCATTGCCAACTCGAAAAGCAGAAAGATTCACTGAACCAAAGACTGCTTTCTAGGAGACAACTAAGTTGCAAGCATAAGTTTCAACTCTCAGAGAGCTATTACATCGGGCATTTGACTAGATTTTACTGAACCAGAGGAAGAAAAGAGACAAGTCTTTTTTCCTCAACTTCTGCCATGAAAACTTCAATACGGAGTCACAGACAGAACTACTACACATCAGTTCTGCCTATGACTATCCTTTCCTACAAGGCAGGGAAAGATAAATTGTACACTGGTAGGAAGCAGCATTTGGAACAGTAAGCTCAGAATTAGTCCTGTAGTATCAGATCTATGCTATTTTAATCCCTTAAGCCACATAAACTTCTCCCCAACTACTCCCCCAAACGTACACTGCACACTCTGCAGCGTATCCAATCCAATAACAGCTACTGAAAGAAAATTACAGTTTAACACAACAAAATCCGTAACAAACAGGTTTAAAAAAGGAAGGGGAACCCACAAACAATGAAGCAGTAACAGCTTTCAACCCAGATCAGTTTCTGATCCAATTCACAATACAGCCATACAAACGCTAGCATAAGCAAGAAGAAGAAAGCAGCTAGCATCATCAGCTGGGCTGAGGTAGAACTAAACCTTCAGGAGTCCAACAGCCACAAGTAGCCTGGAGCATTCATGAAACTACAGCCAGATACTCTCTAGTGTAAGGTGATCTTGAAGGGTCTGGTCATATCCGGCCTGGGGTCCTTTTGCACTCAGAAGATGCGGCCTTCAGCACACTAGTGTGGTAAGTTTCCGATCTGTTACATTTTACATCTGGAGCTTTTACAATGGTTATAGAAACCTTTAACTCATCCAGAAGTCTAGACGAGAACAGTCTGAACTACAGCTGTTCCGAAAATCATTGCAATTATTTATTCATCGTAAAAGTAGTGAATAATTACTTAACTAGTACATGGGTTATTTATTATTCACTGACTAAATGAGCTGAGCATTTCATGTCATTAGAGTATATCAGAGAAGATGATCAAATTAGACAACAGCATAGGAAAGGTCAAATCTGGAACACATGCAAAGCTAAAGACTGTCATGACTTCTTTCTTCCAATATATTTTTTCACCTCAAATTAACACGTTTCAGCAGCATAGCATAAACTTGGAACGAATCATATACCCAACCCATTTTTGTCATCTGAACTGCTTTAAACCTAGTTATTTCAGCCAAGCTATTAATTTTATGAACATTGATCAGTTGGAAGGGATAAATTCCATATAACTGGGGATTAGGTATAGAACAGGAAGCCATGAGTGCAAGAAGCTGTAATGCCACAAAGCCTGGAAGGAAATTCAAGAGCAGGTCTCATACCCTAAATTTAAAAGGTTCCCTCCATTCTGACATATCAGACAAGTTGTTTCACATAAAAATATTTCTGGCCAAGTACATGAGACCTACTGACAAGCCTGTGCGATTGTTTCTAGTATGTACATTCCTTAAACAATTACACAAAACAAAGAAAAAAAATCACATACAAGGAAACAGGAAGTTAGCATAACAAGTGAAAGGCAAACACCCTCAATTTAAGATTCAACTGAGTGCATGTCAGCACTCAACACAAAAACAGACTATTTCCACATCAAGAAGCTAGCTATACAAGTGTTATACTTTCTCTCTCGAGAGTAAGAACTCTTCTGTAAGAAGCTAAGCAATACTACAACTAACTACCAAAGCACTTTGCAACTCTAACCAGAGAGTAAGGAAGCTACACAATGGGATTGCTTAAAGCAAAGTCACACCAGTGACGCAACGCTGCCATTTCTATGCCACAACATGACATTGTAAAATTATTTATGACAAAAGTTACATGTTAGTTTGCTGACACTTGAGAGAAGTTTAAGAAAATAGAAGGCAGTTGTCCACAGGGAAGTTTAGCTACAGCTAACCATCAGTTCTAACGTAATGAGTAAAAAGATATTTTGGTAGGATTAAAAAATAAAACAAAAAAGCTTATTTGGCTATCTGCATTTGACCTCAGGGTTCCATTTGGATAAGGAGAGAAATTACAGATATGCATTGCTAGAATTTATGTCCTAATGGGTAATTAAGTACATTTCATACCTACTTGCTTATTTAGTTGAATTTGAATGCTCATATTCGATGACTTTTTGGAAGATAATTTCAGGAAAGTGAGCTTCAATAAACTAAGAGAACGAACTAAAACTCCCTAGACTGAGATGGTTAGGGTCTTGAGCAACAAGCAGGATTTGAATTTCTTTAACTTCCAGATGGGCAAATCTGAGAGATGCAAAAGCTATCAGTCAAACAGGAAATAACTCGTAAGGCAGGACTTAAAAACTTCAGGCCAAACTAGATAAAGAGCTGTCTGAGAAAAAGGCCTTATATCAGCAGATCTGACAAAAATAGAAGTGATCTGCAAATACAATTAACCTTAACAAACAGAAAAAGGTCAGTGAACTACCAAAAGTCCAGTGAAATTAGATCCCACAAGTATATAAAGCCAAACGACTCTTTTCAGCTCTGTGAAGAGAAAAGGGAGAGAAGACAGCATCTAAAGTAGGACAAAAATTATCACTTGGCCTCTGCTTTCGAAAGGAACAACAAACACAAAAGTAGTTTAGAGTGAATAACGCATACATACATCTTCATCAAATATGAAGCAAAACTCAATGCCTTCTATTGATTCAAGGGATTAAATGTTGTATGATAGAATCAAAATATACGACTGGAAATTTGTAAGTGCAGTTCTTAGTTTATAGAGAGGCAGGCAGATAATGAGGTGACTCAGGGAAAAAGTTATCCAGCTTAGTTAGGACAGGCTACTTCAGAGTACTTTTTGTGGAACATGCATTCCTGGAAATAAATGGGGTAAAATACAAAGAATTGCCAAAGGTAGAGGGTAAATAACACCTTCATAAATACTTGAAGGAAAATTATTTAAACTAGAAAACAAAGTAGCAGCACAGGGTGGGCAATAGATACAGCAAAAGCAACAGATCATGTTGAAAGGGCACGCTGGTCTGAAAGACTCATCTTCTTATCAATTTACTGGTTTCTTTAACAACTTAGCACAAGAAGCAGAAACAACCTGAAGATACTTCACAATTTTATATCCTCAAGTACTTATTGCTCCAGTTTAGTCTGTATGATTAAGCAGAAGCTAGTCAACTACAGGCTAGAGGAACACAGGTGGAAAGAAAGTCTCAGACCTGCAATTAGGGATTCACTGAAAGAATCTTTGCTATAAACTAAGCACCTGTTTGAAACAGATGGTGGCTGAAAAAGACCCAGTTCTATCAACTGAGTACAGGATCAATACACGCTAATGTGATGCCAATATGTAAAATAAACGCAACAAAAACGTATCAAGCATGATGTTCCTAACACGTGGAGGGTTTATTAGTGCCACTGCATAAGGCACATGGTACACTGTGCTCTCATACAGAGATCTAAAATTCTCATAAGTCACCTTCAAAAAGCATTCTATGTGCAGAGAGCGTCTCCTGAGGCGACAGGACAGAGGAGCTCTCAGAAGAGGAGACAGAGCTTGCAATGAAGGTTGACAGAAAGTCAGCATCTCTCCAGTGTGAACAGCAGGATGGAACAGCAAGTATTTAAGATAAAGTACCATTCTGGCAAGAAGAACATTTGTGAAGAACTGGTTATGAATGTATTGCGCTGAAAATCAGATGACTAATTCTGAAGACAGAGTCTGGAACTGGAGGAGAAAAAGGCTGGTCTCTGGAACAGGAGAAAAAACTGTTAGAGGCAGAGCTCGAGTATTTTATGAACTGGAAAACATGTGGTCTGCAAATAGCACGGGACTGGACCTAATGAATAGGAAGGACCCTTTTAAATGCTGCATTCTTGAAAGAACCCTGGCATTTATAAGTGAATACGTTTCATTTAGCAACAGTCAGTCAAATATTACTTTCTATGAACAACACCCGAGAAGCATAATCTAGCTGTTCCAGCTGATGGTTACGTTACAATAAACCAAACATCACAGGAAGACCGACATAATTGTCATTTATCCAGTGATGAAGTGAAGAAACAAACTGCCAAAGACCTCAAGTTTACCTGGATCTCTAAATGAAAAATAGGAGACTATGTGAACTCACATATCAAAGCTTAACCGCTGGGGGAAAATAAAAGCCTTCATTAAATAAGTTTAAAAATTTGATCCTTTAAAAATAGAGGTAAAGGCTTTTTGGCTTCAGGGGTTTTTTCGTCCTTCTTCCCCACTAGCCTTCTACTAGACTTTTGCCAGAATACTGACAACTAGCCCAGAACAACAGGAAATACTCGAAATGAACAGACAGAAATTTCACCTCAATGGAAATTTAAACAGCCCTTTAAACTAAAGCCTAGTAAATATTCCCTTCTCCAGAAAAAAAACTGGCCCTGGGGTGGGGCAAAGGATTAAGCAGCAATTTGAAAAAAATGTCCTTGCTTGATAATAGTTGGTTTTATGGCTATACCTAACCTGTTAAAAACACCTAGGAAAAACAATACACAAGAACATTCAAAACAGCTGCAATCCTAAGTCTGTAAGGCAAACAAATCTTTCATGCTTCTCCCTCCCCGGCCAAAGTTTCTAAAAAAGTGATTTTTTTCCTGCCATCATCATCCTTGCCAGGGTGTAGACATTTCCAGTGAAGGCTTCTCCTTCAGTCTGTATAGTCTCTCTACATAAAAAACACACACAACCCACAAGTATTCATTCACTTTCTAGTGAGGTGCAAACTAAAATTTTAGAAAGTTATTTCTTGTTTTACTATAGACTTATCAGATAAAGACAACTTTTTTTAAAAAGGTAGAAAAAAAATGAAGAATTTACAATTATTTACTGGACTCTTACTGGAAAAGCGTGTCATAACTAAAGGTTCCGTTGGCATTTTTGTCTGGAAGTTTTTATGAAAGTGACCCTGATCTTAGAGCATGGACCACCCTTTTGCCCTTTCCCCTGCCTGAGGCAGGTAACTTCCTACAAAGGAGATGGTCTTCCCTCTTCCAGGGCAGAAGCATAGGGTTTCTGAACCAGTAGCATCCACCAATACCACCTTCTCGGATGGTACATGCAAGAGTTTCAGTTACAACTCTCCAGCATTTTTGCACAGAAGGAAAGACTTATGCTTACAAAAAAAATTACAGTAGTCCTTTGAAAGCCTGCAAGTGATAGTGGGAGAGAAGAAAATAGCCTTGTCTATCTGACCTTTTTTAATTTTTTTTTTTTAAACCAGATAAGTTCAAATATATTTTAAAAAGTGAGTTTGAGATAAAGGCTGCTCCAGATGCAACTTCTCCGATGTCTATCGCACCATCTTTTTTATTTGTTAGCATCATATGATTCGCTCATGATTTTAAGTATTTATCAATGCGATTTAAATATTTCATCGCTCTAAAGATTTTTCCATTTCTTTTTTGTAGGGTGTTGAATAACAGCAGTTTCCTCTATAAATCTGGAAAGATTACATAGGCACATTGTGTTCTTTGGTATTTACTTCAGTAGCAGCGTTCAGTTTTCCAAATATCATTAAAATACACATATGCCAATTACTGCCACTTTATTTGGACAATGCCCAAGCTAAGTAATATTCAGCAAACAAATCCAGATCTTAAAGGGTCTTTAAACACTGTGACTAATTTTTATTGTTATATTGTTATTTAAAATACTGATTTACTTACCTCTGTTGTTTGGCCCTGTAACTTCACAAGCTGAGTTGTTCGAATGTTTAAGGACTGGCTCCTTGTAACTGTTGCTCCAGAAGATTTCCCATTAACTTTCCTTTCCAGATGACAACTTACTAACAACTTTTCTTCTAACAGTACAGCATCCCACGGATCTTCCGCAGTCTTACTAGAAGTCATCTCGCCATCATCTTCTGCCTTATACAAAGTCTCCACGCTATCCCTTTTTGGTTTACTTAGCGGATCCAAATCTAGCCAGTCAAATTTACTAATGTCTCTGCAGCTTTCTGAGGCTGGTAGATTAGAAACTGCAGACTTAATAGCAGTCATCTCTAAGTCAGCGCTTGACTTCCCATTTCTCAGAAATTCTGACGTGCTTGCAATTTTGTCAAATACTTTTGCCATTTCTGGTGTAAGTACTGGAGGATATAGGGGTAGGCTTCCTTGTGGATGGAAAGGTGTAGTAGCTGCCAATGGATATGAAATGTACTGTGACTGTCTTGGAAGACCAAAATAAATAGGCTCTGTCGAGCGATAGGAGGACGTACTCGGATGGAATCCATTCTGAAATACACCAGTCTGCTTTGTATAAGAAGCTGAGGGATAAACAGGAGGTAAAGTGCAAGTCACAGGTGCTGGTATCGCAGGCGTCCACTGTCCTCTCCGACCAGCAGGCCCAAGATAAAATTGTGAAGAAACAGAGGGGCTCAAAATGGGAGTTACTGGTAACGTAGGTGCTCTACTAGATTCAAAACTGTCATCCAGCAGCAGTTTCTCTAGTTCAGCATGAGTAAGCTTCTCTATGTCAATGGTACTTAGTTTATCCTCCATTCTCTTGGAATCGGACTCTGGAAACACCATGAGATCACAGTCCTGTTTGTTATTAGTCTGCACTTTTTGTCCAGTGCTGCCTAAAGAAGGAAGGGTTTGTTTATTACCAGCTACACCTCTTTCTTTCTGCAGTTTAGCTAATGCCTCAGCTTCCATCTGCAATGCCTCCTCTTTGTCCACATCTTTTGACCTTGCTGTTGCCAAAGGAGGGGATGAACGCTGTCTAAATCCATCGCTACTGGGTATCTGGGCCATACCGCAAGAGCAGGTGTCCATTTAAAGAATCAAGACTTCCGCTATTCTGATTGTCCACCCTTGCCTTCGTAATAGATTCAGCAGATCTGAAAATGAAATGAAGCGTTAGAAACTTCTAAGACGACAAATCATATGAAGTGAACTACTAAGCCATACACCAACAAATGACAGAGTTGCACATATGTCCTTCAGAAAACTGGGGCATAAAACTAAAAAGAATGATTTTTTTGTCCAAACTTAAGAGAAGCTGCACAATTAAACTAAACACAACTTTTGCATTCTGTAAGACCCATTTATTTTTCTTACCAGTGCTTACCAGTAAGTAAAGTAAATATGTAGAATTTAGTTTCTCTTTGCACAATTAAACCTAAGATCTGGAAAAACTGCATTCAGGTACCTAAGTAATTGCAGATTTGACAGATTCTGCACACTTATCCCATTTTACTCCTCTAATCCTAGTCCTGAAGACCATGCAAATACCTAGCATTGACAAAGCATGTGATCTAGAAGACTTCCAGTTTACTTCAATACATTACAAACTAAAAACCAAACACATCTTTTCGACAAAAAAAAGATCACTGTACTTTTGTCACCTTAACTAGAGAAATAGCATTTATAAAATGCTATTTATTGTACGTGCAAAATACATAAATAACTTAAAGCTGCTGATTAAGTAATTCCTTTAACAGACCCTTAAAGGAAGCATCATTCACTATTATATAAGGGAAGAAACTTTGGAAGGACGCTCTGGGATAAGGTCACCACCAATGAAATGACATCTTACATTACTCCACCTCTCCTTTTTTTAAAGGCATAGAAACAACTAAATGGATCATAACAGAAATTTGCAAGTGATAAAACCTCTCCAAATCACTCACTTTCCCTAAATTTAAAGTAAAATAGGCATTCATACTTTGTATAACATCAATTATGTTTACACTGTTCTAGCAGTCATTTGCTGATATTACCTCCTTGGAGATTTCTTTAAAAGCAGGTCTAAAAAACTCAATCATCTGATTTAGCCTTGACTAAAGGTAATCTGCCTCTTGCAATGAGACCCGGTAACTTTAGACAATATTTTCTGCATGTGTTCAATTAGATGTAATAAGGCACATGCCTGCATACCTCTTTCACGGTCTCCAATCTAGCAGAATTCTCCTAAACATGTCTTTAGAAGCAATTTGGAATACATGTATCCATAGCATCTAAAATTAATTTGCTCAGTTATGCGTTTGTGTATCGCTTTTGTAATTTTTAATTGAGTAATGCTCATTATTCCTTATTTTAAGGGTAAAATGCTGGGGTTTGTTTGCCTTTTTTTTCTTTTAAATAAGTACTAGCAGTAAAGCTTTGTTAACATGAACCAAGAAATAGAAAGACGTCTGGCAATCTTCTTCAGCTCAAAGCCACTAAGTGGGAGTGGAAATTCATTCAAAATAGAGTTTGTGTTACAGTGGCTTATATAAAAGCAAAAAGCATTTACACACATACTCCTCTAGCAAATATATAAAATCTAACCATGAAGCAATTTTTACTCAGGAGGAATATATAGATTTTTGGTAAGAAACACCAGGAAAAGAAAAACCACCAATACAGAATATTACATGTCTACTAGGACAAAGACTCCCAAAATCTAAATTAATTTCTTATCTTAATGACCAAGGGACGTCTTTATTAGCGATAAATCCTGCTACCTCAAATAGAGGTAATCTCACTGTCTGCTCACACACGTGTTAACATTCTTCTCTACCTGAGCAGAGCTGCAGAATTAATTTTCTTTAAAAATTAAAAAAAAGGGGCTTTCAATTTAAAATTCTATTTATAATCTGTTCTAGCGCTAAACAAGCATACAGTTCATATTATTTGGCAATTCATTCTCAAGAAATACCTTATAGCCATCACAGATCAGTGCACATCAACTCCCTAGAACTCCAGGAAGCAACGATAACACGTCAGACCATTTTCTACATTCCTTGTGAAGTAATGCCTTGACACACAGTAGCTAGAGAGCTTCCTCAAAACAAATGTAATTTTTCAAAATAACTCCCTGTGGCTATTTTACCATTAATTAAAAACAGATTCAAAACATTTGCCTAACATCGAACGATAGATAAGTAAGGAACTAACAAATCTTGCCCACATACCAGAGATGGTAGCAGTTTTATGGGATGACAGCAAAAACTAATGAAATAAGACACCAGGAGCGTACTATGGAAAGTACTAATCATCCAGAAAGGAATTCACAGTAAGATATTTGACACACAAGGAAAACTCCTTAGGAAGGAAAAAAAATTGATGTTCAAAAGCTTCCTCTGTCAGATGGATTCACAGACTGCTACCAATTGAGAAACACCTGAACAGATACTTCAACAATTCAAGTCATGAGTAAGTCTGATGCAAGTCACTTATAGACCTATCAAATTCATACTGGCATTTGAAAAGAGACAGAGGAAGCAAGTATGACAACGTTAACTGACAAGAGATTCTGCAGGTGTAATCACTACACATGAAGTGGTTGAAAACAGAAAATAGAAGAAAAAAACACAGAGAGAATCCCAGTAATGTTTTGAAAGAACAAAGGGCTTTTTAAATTCACTCACGCGCATAGTCAGCAACGAACGTACTAGGTATTTTATTTCTTGAAAAAGCATCAAGTCAGTTTACAAATGTTTACCCCTCCTCTATAACTATTAAAATAATTATTTCCAGGTACCTTAAAATAGATTAGGAAAAAAAAGATTCTTCAGCTGTGTAACAGCCTGTACATCAATTATGACTGGCATTATATGGTTTATTGCTTTTCCTAACACCTTGATTTTTTTTCCTTTTAGATAGTTAGTCTCTACTCAGTGCATGAACTGTTTATTTGTTAGAGATGCTTTGAAAGCCAGATAACCCATCTAAATAAGCATATAAACAGACTGTTCTTTATAAAAAATTACATGTTAACAGCAGCTGATTTTAAAGTCAAAAATACTTTAACAATCAATACACTTATTATTTCTATTTCAAATCGGAAGAATTCCTTTTAAGTGCTGCAGATGCATCTGTTGAGAAATGTAAATAAAAAATGGTTGTTCTTAAATTTATTTACAGACATGTGAACTTTATAAGCCTCTGAATATAAATTTGAGTGTTTTAGTCCTTCATAAGCCTAAAAGCCCATTTAAAAAAAATACTCTTAGGCTTAAATTGGAAGCTTTTCAATAATATGTACGTAAGTAGTCCTGAAAGGTTAGTGTTTCAGCTATAGTTCTATTATCTTTCCACCAAAACTTAATAGCTTCTTTAGCCCAGTCATTTTATCAAAATTAGAAAATGCCTTCTTAAAGAAGAGATTAAAACAGTTAACTGAAAAACTGAATCCACTTCAGCTCATTTCTAAACAATCTTCCAAAACACAAAACAGAACATCCCAATTTATCTAAAGATATGGTTTTAAATTGACCGTGAACTCTGAACCAGCACTCCTTTTTGTTTTGTTCAAGTCAGCCAGGCTAGCTTCTAAACAATACCCAAGCAGTGACACCTAGACCAGTAACTGCACCTCTTAACTTTGATTATAAGGATCCATTTACATCCAAAAATTACAATTTCATGGCATAATGCCTCTGATTTTGAAATAGATAAGAACAGTGTATTTCCAGTACTAGAATAGGAAGCCTCCAGGAATGCTTTAAGGTCTTCCAATATTGGCAACAATTCCATTGAAAATCCAGTCTCAGCAGTTTCCATGCTTATAGAAGTGCTTACAGCTCCTCCATTTACACCAAGTTTCATCCAAAATACTATTTAGAAGACCCACTAGATACGTCATGCTTTGCAACTGTAGAATCTTGATTTTGGATCAATGTTCCAAGAAGGACAACGGACAAAAGTATTAGTCATGGCGTTCTAGGCAGATTTTAACCCAGGTAGCTATTTTCACCTGCAGATCATCTGTTTGCCATAGCCACAAAGTACTCTTCCCCTTCTTGAACCAGTGGTCTGCACCATTAGCCATCGCAAACCAATCTACCAGCAGACATGGACACACATGGATTTCATACAGTATGTCTGCAAGCTTCTCTAGCATATTTGTGCTGCTATGTCCAACACCTTCCCTCAACTTTTGAGCCCAATCACCATTTCGACTAAGTCTGCTACAGGGATAGAAGTCTTAATTATAATCCATTAAGCTTCATAAAAACAAGCAACCCAAGATAGCCAAGAAACTGGGTGTCACCGCTGAAGAAAACAGTAGCATAAGCTCATATTACTGCACGCTACAAATTTATTGCACAAATAATCTTTAGACATGCTTGAATCATGGCAAAAATTCCTTAAACCCTATCAGCTAAAGGCACAAATCCACAGGAAACTTGACATGAGCTTCATCGCATGTAGAACTACTTCTACATCTCAGTATTTTTTTCCCTATTCTGTTCCCAGCTCTCTGACAGCAAAACTCCAAGCTCTGTTCCCACACAGCATTTTCTGGATGTGGGTACCAGAAAAAGCAATAATGAAACTGATGGCATCCCAGGCTGTTTCACTCCAATGCACTTGGCCAGGATTCTTTCCATTCCCTACAGCCAAGCCTATTACCAGCATTGTTTGACAAAGGCAAAGAATTTTGGTTCTGTTGCAATGTTTCTCCTTGCAGAATAACGCTTTCATATCCCCTCCTTCTGCTTGTTTCAGAAGTTCACCTTTAAAAACCTTTTATTGGTTCTTTTGCTTTTCAGTCACCTCTGAAGTTGTGCTTTTCTCCATGTCACCTCTATGCTTTCCATCAACTTCTCTTTTCAAAGGGCACTTGAAATCCCACACGCAATGCAAAATATTCCACACCAAATCAACATTAGCTATGCTACTGTTCCAGGCTTCCTCCCCCCCCTTTTTTTTGAAAACAATGTCAGTACCCCAGATATTGATTCCCCAGATGAATAATTTGCCTATTAGTCCATCATTTCAAAAAAAAAAAAAAACGTTCTAGAACACCACTTCATAGAATAATTAAGGCTGGAACGGACCTCAGGAGGGTCTCTAGTCCAACCTCCTACTCAAAGTAGGGCCAATTACGAGATCAGACAAGGGTGCTCAG